TTGCCGGGCTGAGCTCGACGGCTTTACAGCATCCGACAGCAGAAGGTGTAAAATAATCCACACCCTATCCAAAGCGCCTGACTCGTGGACCGGCCGTCGAGGACGCATATCCGAAGAGCTCCTAAAGGAACATGCGGCTCCAGAAGATGAAAGTATGGTACTGATTTGTGGTCCGCCAGCCATGGAAGAATCTGCTCGGAGGATACTATTGGCAGAAGGATGGAAAGAGTCGGACCTTCACTTTTTCTGATTTTGTATTATCCAAGGAATGGCGTGATGAGTATCGAAGACATGAGTCATAACGGCGTTGCGAATATATACAGGGTTATATTTGGGAGAAGCAAACACAAAAAGTGGCGTTAATAGGTATCAATGTTCTTAAGGGATTATCACGGTAGAGGGACGAAAATGCAAGGAGACGGAAACATTGTTTAGCATAATATTTTAGTAAAACCTGGTGCGATAGAGCTTGTATTCGATTCTCAGTAATATTTTCTCATATCCAAGCGCGCCAGGAGGTGGTCAAATACACTTGTAGACGCCTCTCTGGATGCAAAGGTTGTGCCGGACCTGCCGAAAGGTTTCGAAGATGCCTTCACGCCATCTAAACTGCGTAGATAACTCACGAAAAGGGATGTTTGTTTCCGGAACGTAGCGTACAACTGATAGACAATAGCCTCACTTTCGTGGCGCACGCCGCTTGTTCCATCCATCCTCGACAATGGAGCAAACGTTAAAATCGTACCGAAAATACTTTCCAGCAACTTCGCTGCATCAGCATGTCTTTTGCTGAGGAAAAGCGCAAACAGCATTTGGTCGAGAACATCCTCATGATAGTCTCTAAGTCGAGGAACAGAATCAGCTGCTTCTATCGTGCCATCAATATCACTGCGGTCGAGGCAGCGTTCAATCTTAGCCAAGCTATCTTGGAACCGCTGCCAAGTCGAACCAATGCCGACATGAAAGCAATAATCACTCAATACAAGCACGAAATGTTGGCAATCAATGCGGAACTTCTGATACACGTTTCTAGGATCCCCAGATAGGGAGTCTCTCCCCGTAGAATCACGAATGAGACCTTTGACGACCGAAACCATTCGGAGAAGTCGAAGCAGATGCTTGAAAAGATGGTCATATTTGCTAAGCGATCGCGACGTAATGATAGCTTCCAGGACATCTGATGGTTTGTATTGGAGGCGTAGGAAATCCAAAGCCTCAATTGCATTGGGATCCTTGCATTTGGTAACCTCTTCATCCGTCAACTCTCGAATTGAGAAACTGAGGCCGCCAGGAAGTTCTCTCTCCTTGCGGGACTCATTACCCGTTGAGCTGTCTGAGCGATCATCAAAGCCGTGACACTCATTAAGGAGCCCAATGAGCACCAATCGCAACTCCGAGCTTGCAGGAGGCCAAGTGTCACGGCTCCCTAACCGCAAACCAGTGTGGACACTGCTACGGACAACACCAGATTTTCGCTCGCCGCTCTGCATCTCTGGATCAAAGAGAGCGTGCGACAGGCGCGACGTGAAAAAGCCATCCCCAAGAAGCTGGAACCGCCATTGCAGAGCTAGGTGATACCGGACCTTGTGCTCCTTGAACAGCAGGTGAAGACAAGAATAGTCAATTAACAACGCCTGGGACGAAAGAAGTGGTGCAAGAGAGAGATATAGGGCGGAAGCTAACTCTGGGCCAAAATTACACTTATGATTCTCAGGCCCTCCAAGGCCCTTGTCGTTCCCTCCGTCAATTAATCGGGAGAGCTCGTCTTTCTCCATAGAGGATTGGTTTGCGAGCAATCCAGTCGTGTTTTGCGCGTCATCAATGTCAAATAGGTCAAAGGTATCTTTGAGTGTATCACTAGCCTCACCACGGGCAAAAGGTTGGGAATCAATTTGCAAGTCTCTCTTGACAGAAGGATCTCCACGATTATACTTGAGAATTTCGCACCGCAGTTTGTTCTCGTAGGTCTTTGCTTTTTGCTGTATCCTTTCAATGTCAGTCCATGTGCTAGCACAGCTGAGCCTGGGGACGTCGCCGTTGCAAATTCCGTCACTCGCGATTGGATGATGTGGATGGAATCTTTTAAGCAGGCGCAGGCTTCGCCCGCTTTCGAATATTAACTCTGCTTGGTCTGCAGGAATGAACGATGGCATCTCAGTGGGATTATATCTGTAGTCAAGCCTTGTTGATTGAGAAGATATCGTCTTCGGATTTTCTTCTGAGCGCTCCAAAGCCACAAAGCTTCTGCCATTTGCCGCCAGCTCTTTCAACGTCGACGCCTCCAAGCGGAGGCCAATCCAAGTCTCCACATGCTCAAGAAACGGATACACTGTCCGGATAACAATCTCGCGGAAGAGATCCTCCATATGGCCGAAGCTTTGGGAAAAATGGGCGGCCTTTTCAAGCACGATGGAGAATATCTGAGCATCCGAGACAACACCTTCAACAGCTTCCACCAGGTCTGCCAAGACACCAGCTAATTCAGCGCATCGTTGAAACAGGGCTCTAATCTGGATGAGGGACGCTATATTGTCAGCGGAGCTGAGAAGTCTCTTTTCAACGATGTAAATGACGACGGCTACGGCGCTCGAGAGTGTAGAAAGAGCCGAGAGTTTAGTTGACTTGGATGGAGCTTTGCCAACGAAGTTTCGCACCCGCTGCATATCTGTACCGCATCGTATCATCTCATCAATCAAGCCATTAAGTGCAGCGACACTAACACCCGAGAGGCGGAGGCCATCAAATACACGCTCGAACACTTGGCGTTCTCTATCGTATCGAAAAAACAATGAGCTCCAACCAAGACCAAGGCGGAAAAGGGACCGGAAAAAGACATCATTTCGAGCCACGCGGGCTGGTTTCCCGAGCCCGTTCACTGCAGCCTGATTTGCCAATGCTGCATCGAATCCTCTAGAGCCCGATTCACTAAAATATGCGGAAGCGGGTTCATGATACAATCGGTTTTGACAACTCTCCCACGTCTTCAATAATCCTTTGCCGTCAATTTTGACATCCAAACTATCCAATGCCCAGATATCCTCTGACTCATCTCCTGTTTCGGAGCGTGCAATGCTCGGTTCGACATGAGTTTCGCTTGACGCATCGGTTGTTGATTCCGGTAACAAGTCTGGATCGAATACATCGGTTTGGAAAAGATTCAACTGGCGTAAACTAAAACAATCTTCATTGAGCGATTCTAGAGGACTCCTGAAGAAGCCCCCAGTCAGATCTGGTAAAAGCGAAGAGTTAGTATTCGAGAATGGACGGATAAGCCTCCAGACAATGATGCGCACCTGGCAACTCTTCGTTCCATGGGAGTGGTTCTAGTGGTTGCAGCGATTGCAGAGTGAACTTCGATAGCCTCCACAGACCCTCACTCGAGAATGGGTCCGTATCACAATCTTCCTGCTCCATCTTATGACACGGACTGCTCCAAAGGCTGACGCCATAGAAGCAAACCCTTATCAGCTGACGACGCGTTGGCGGCGCGAAATCACACCTGACTAGCCTTAAAATGTGCTAGCGTCCCCCCCGGGTCACGCTTGGACCACCGCTTGTTTGGGAAACCGAAGCCGAATGAAATTGTCGCGACACGACCTACACCAGCTCCCCACGTGTGTCGCGATCCAGTACAGAGGATCCTGAACGCCATTGAATATTACAGAATAGAGGACTGTTGTGCAAAACTGTCAATATGCCTCCCAGGAAGAAGCCTAAGCTTACCGCTCAATCCGAAGCCGCGCAACCTTCCGCGAACACCCCCGCCAGTGATAGCGCAGCTCTGCCTAACACAGATTACGACCCAGTGACAGACCCGTGGACGGATGAGCAGGAGACTGCGCTACTAAAGGGGATAATCAAATGGAAGCCGGTTGGTTCGTAACCATGTCCTGTGTTGCTTTAACAAGCTGACTTCTACTAATCGATATGTCCTGTCAAAGGAATGCACAAGCACTTCCGCATGATCGCTATTTCCGAGTTCATGAAAAGCCAAGGCTACGCACCTGCCCACGCAGAGCATACACGGATACCTGGGATCTGGAAAAAACTCGGGACATTATATAACCTCTCCGCACTCGATGAGCGGGTAGGTAACGACGGCTGCCTATGTTAGATATGGATTGCTAATATTTGCACCGTGCCATGTAGGAGGACTCCTTGATAACAGATACATCCGATGATATCGATAGCTCCAAGGAGCTTTACTGTCCATTTGAGCTTCCGGAAGATGAATACGGCGAGTTGATGTTCGAGAGGAGATTAGCAATGGAAGGTTCCGCTTCGCCAGTCCATAGTGCCCAAGCCGAATCCAGGCGAGGTAGCACGGTAGCCGACACAGATGGTGCGTCTTACTGGTTCTTTGTTTCTTTTCGAGGTCTGTCTAGATTCTAACTACTAGTCGTATTTAGAACCCCGATCCTCTCCGGCGCCGTCAAGAGGTAGGAAGTCAGGTCGTGGAAGCCGTCAATCAGCACGAGGTGCTCGATCTTCGCGGCTACAGGTAGAAATCGAGGCTCCGAGGAGGAGCTCAGGCACAGGGGAAGAGGAAGGTGACTCTGAGGATGCTGGTGCGAATGAAGAAGGGGACGAGGAAGGCTCGGACGGGCCGAAGGACGACAGCGAAGGTGACGAGGAAGCCGAAGAGGATACAGGAGGCTCACCAACCGGACGAAGTACACGAGCCCAGACAACTCGAACAAAACAAAAGGAGAAGAGAAGTAGTGGCACAGGTACCAGACGAGGCGGTCGACGACGGTAGTTTTAATGTGTACTTTTACTTTATGATGGTTTAAAACTTTGATACCTCTGGAGGACTCAGGCAGGCGTTTCTTTTACATTCACATATAGCAGATTTATCATCGCTTTTAGTCTACTTCAATCTTGGCGATCAGTCAACAGAATGCGATGCTCTCGATGAACATGTTAAGTCGCCAAGCGATTGCGCTAATTGAAGGGGGCAACAATACGACGAAAACTAATGAGGCATATTCCAAGAAAAATGGCATCTAAATAAATACATTGTACGTATAAATAGGTCACTACATTTGTTCTAGTCATTCACAGGCTAAAAGGAGACAATCAAGGGAAATAGTACATGGTGCGAACCGAATCCCTTACAGACGCTTCATGATGGCCTCGGCGTACTCGTGGGTCTTGGCCTTGCCGCCCAAGTCACCGGTGAGAGTCTATATAACGTCAGTAATTGTGGCATACTAGCGAATAGGGGTCAGTATTCAAATCAGCTTACCTTTCCTTCAGCAAGGGTATCGAAAGTGGCCTTCTGGATACGAGCAGCATGCTCGCCAAGACCCATGTGTTGAAGCATCATGATACTGCTCAGAAGCAGAGCAGTGGGGTTAGCAAGACCCTTGCCGGCAATGTCGGGGGCAGAGCCGTGAACAGCCTCGAAAATGGAGCACTCGTTACCGATGTTACCGGAGGGAGTGAGACCGAGACCACCGATCAGACCGGCGCACATGTCAGACAGAATGTCACCGTACAGGTTAGGCATGACAAGAACCTTGTCGTTGTAAGGGGTGGGGTCAGTGACGATCTTGAGGCAAGAGTTGTCCAGCAGCTCTGCGTCGAATTCAATATCAGGGAACTCCTTGGCAATATCACGGGCGAGGTTCAAGAAGAGACCATCGGACATCTTCATGATGGTAGCCTTGTGCACGACGCGGACCTTCTTCTTGTTGATGGAACGAGCGTATTGGAAAGCAAAGCGCAGGACTCTCTCAGAGGCCTCCTTGGTGATGAGCTTGATGCTCTGAACAACGCCATCGACGACGACGTGCTCAATGCCAGAGTATTCACCCTCGGTGTTCTCACGGATCAGGACGGTATCGACGTTATCGTAAGGAGTCTCATAGCCAGCAACGGAACGGCAAGGACGCACGTTGGCGAAAAGGTTGAAGGTACGGCGGAGAGTGAGGTTCAGAGAAACGTGTCCCTTTCCAACGGGGGTCTAAAAATATTTCATGCTCAGCAAAAAGATTTCCATGACACATGAAAGCGTTGACATACAGCAAGGGGCCCCTTGAGGGCGACGTAATTCCTCTTCACGCTCTCAATGGCTTCATCGGGGATAGCGGTCTTTCCATCCTTCAAGATAGGAGTAACATCAACTGGCTCCCACTTGACGGGGGCCTGCAAGTAAGGTTAGCAGCACGTCTTCAAAGCCACAAGCGGCCGGGAGGGAAGAAATATTACGTTTGCGGCAGCGAAGATGTCCTTGACGGACTGCGAGATCTCAGGACCAATGCCATCACCCTCAATCAGAGTGACCGTGTACTTTCCCTATAAAGATAATATTTCCATCAGAAAGCTTGTTTTCGAGGTGTTGAATTTAGTTTTGGATTGTGTATAGATCGATTGTCCAAAGATCTCTGGCGGGAGACGCCGGACCAAGGGAAGAAAAGATCCGTGAGAAAAAAAATTTCGGAGACTTCGGGCGCAACATACATCGGTGTCCTTCTGGCCCTTGAACTTAGCGACACGCTCGTCGGCGGCAGCGGCATAACCACGGAGCTAGGTAAACTAAGTTAGCTACGCAAGAATTGATGGTTGAGCCGGAGTTGGAAATGGGCTTGGTATATACCTGCGAAAAGGGCGAGGCAATGCTTGGGGAGACACGAGTGCTCCGCAAGCACTGGCGGGCAGGGAGAGCGAAGTTCCTAGCGGCAAACATTGTGACAGGTCCCCGGGATCAGCGACAAACAACACAGGGTTGGAGAGGAGAGTATATGGAGGATGGGAAGGAGAGAAAGAAGAAAGGCGGCGGGCTGCTTGTGCGGGAAGTGAGAGAAGGTTCCTCAGGCCAATCTTGACCTCTCTCGGCACCGCCGCTGCCGACCGACCGGCATGGCATCGATTCCGTGTTTGGCCAGAATCCACTTGGTGTCCTTTCCTAGATCAGATAACAACTGACGGGCCACGGGTCACCACACCTCGTTCATTGTCATTATTATTTTCATGGCAATTTTTCCAATACCTCCCCTAAACCTAACTTATAGCCTGGCGCCCTAAATTTCCCCACCGGTGCAGCTACGTGCTTCCCTGCATGTGGCCTCCTGGAACGTTCTACCCCGGCGGTTGATCGGTCACCTGCCCCCTCCTAGGCTAAGCGCGCGGACACCTTGCAACAATGGCCGACGCAGACATCGCAAACTACTATAATCTCCCTTCAGCTTTTCCTGAGGAGTGGCCTGCAGAGCTAGATGAAAGCGATCATTCGGAGGATGAGGCACTCGCCCGCACTGCTTCGCGGCGATCCCGGTACTTTGCTCTCGAGCGCAGTAACAGCCGCCAGCAAGGCGTCAACCTAGAGTCATTCAAAGGAAGCAATGGTCGGGAAAACCTCGTCCAAATGGACGAGCCGGATCCGCTCGGGACAGGCGAGAGCGTCCTCAAGATCTTGAAAAAGGGGGGAGTGTCTGTAGAAGAAGAGAGTCGCTTGCGGAATAGATTCTTGCTCTCGTCTACTTCATTTTCTCCGGCTTTGTTTCTTTCGCAGGCTCATTCCGATGCGTCGATTAAGTCACTACTTAGTGGACTGGAATTTCTTTCACGATCGATCGACCAGAAGTCAGCTTCGTTGAAAGTACTTGTCGAGGCGAACTTTGAGCGATTCGTCCGTGCCAAAGCAACAATTGATAGTGTATATACAGAGATGAGGAATCAAGGGAAGGTAGAACACCTATCGGCCTCGCACGCTCGCCGCAGGTCAGGACATTTTCGGAACCTCTCATCTGGCAGACAGAGCATATCTCCCGCGACAATTACCGACTCGGGCCCCGGGAAGAATGCTCTGACCAAGGAAAGTGAATACGGCATGAAGGGCATCCGCGGTCCACTTTTAGAAGCCTCTGTTAAAGCTGAAGAAGTCTGGGGGCCTGCATTAGGGGGCCGTGAAAGAGAACAAGTTCTAAAATCGGTCGTCGAAACTATGGAGAAACACCGGGATGTCTATGAAATAGGTGGGCTCCTTTCGAAGTCCATCAAGCAGAGAGATTATGATTCTGTTTTCGAACAGTACACCAGAGCAAGGACGCTCGCGAAGGAGGCCAGGAATATTGTCGATACCGCGACGAGCAAAGGCCGGCCGTTGACAGACGAGGAGACTCACATGATTTTGGCGATGGGGAGGATGTGGATGGATGTTGACCAGCAAATACAGGCATTCAAGCATGATCTTTGGAGGCGCTTGAGTGAGTCACCTATCGCCTCGACAACGGTGACCGCTTCAGGGCCAGTTGAGGAACATATGGAGCTAATAGGCGCTCTGCTGGAATTGGGAGTCGAAGACAACCCCATCTGGGTCTGGCTTCTTGGTCGCTATGAATACTTGAAAACGAAAATTACAACTTTTTGCGAACGCGGCAAAACGGAACTAGAGATACTCAGGCGCAGACTCGCTTCTGGCGAGAAGCCGTCTCCTCAAACGCTGGCATCCTATCTCCGACTCGCTCCTCGTGATGGTGCAGCAAGTACTCCAGCGACGCTTGACACTGACCAGGTCATCGAACTCTGGGAGTGTGTGCATACTTACTTAAATAGACTGCTATCGTCACAAGGTGGCCTTCTGGGCGAAGTCTTCGATTTCTGGGAAGCGGCACAATCCTTTATCGAGGGTAGCAAACAAAAGCTTCTCCCAACCGGATTCGAAGGTGAGAGTCGTAAGCATCACCAGCTCTCCACTAATGACTCCAGTGAGCTGCAGAAGGGCGTTGTCGAGTTAATTAATCTAATTCGCGAAAGCATTCTGTCGCTGTTCGCCGACGCTCCAGTTGAGGATGTTACTATCCTCACCTCTCCAATACCACCACCAAGCCCCAATAGCCCAATGAGCGGAGGAATTACTCCCACCGAGTCCCGTTTCAAGCTAGATCCTAAGAACATGCCATTTCCCACCCCAAAGCGTGGCGAAGCTTGGGAGGACTATGCATTTTGGCCTCCCTTTTCCAACTCCCTTAGCGGCATTCACTACCTCGGCCAATTTCTCGTCCTCATTGGCAGAGCAGCCAGTGAAATGGCTGCATTAGCACCTGTACGGAGTACAGATAACGCTTATGATCTCCTCAAGTCACTTGTGAGCGTCACTCGTGAACGTTCTGTTCGCGCAGCATGCTACGCTTGGGGCAAAGACGCAGAAGTTTGCAAGATGTTGGAGGACTGGACGAGGGATTCAGAGAAAAAGGACTTGACTAAGATGCCCGGTTTGTTTGTGGCTTTTGAGAATGCAATTCTTAGTGGAATGCAGAAGATCCTCTACATTTCGGAGGCCATGGTAAAATCAGGTGACGTAGATGTTGTCACACAGCCTCCTGCGAAACTTTTACAGATGGTGCGCACGCAGTTTGTGTCCAGTATTTACAAGGCCCTCAGCGGCTTGGTCGAGAATGCGGAACATCCCACAATTCTTCAAGAGGATAGTGAATGGGTGCTAGCGGAGCCTGCGGCACGTAGCCTTTCTGATACGTCCACAGCGATTTTCATCGCGGATGCGGTCGATGCTCGAAATAGGGTAGGTCTCTCATGGATTTCGAATGCTTCCATATCAACTAATCCTGGTTATAGAATGTTCGCATACTCCTCACTTTGTCGAATATCAAAGCATTCCAAGCCGATCTCGTCCCGCAGCTAGTGGCGAACTTTGAAACTTCATTTTCCGTCAAGTTGACTGAGGAAGCCAATACTATTCGCGACGTACTCAGTCAGATTGACGACCGCCTGTTCCAGTCGTACACTAAACCCACAATCAACAAATTGAACACAACGATTATTGATGGCATTACTGCCCCCGATTGGGAGCCGACCGTCCCTCGCCCCGAACAAGTCCGGCCGTATGTTTACAACGCCATGCTGACTCTTGTGCTTGTCCATACGGAGATCTCGACTACCATTCCTTCCAGTTCATCGGCGGCATCTAATCGGTCGTCTCCAGGAGGCCAGCCACCTCTGCTAACCATCGTTCTCACGCACTTGTTGACAAAGATCTCTTCATCTCTCCTAACGGCCTTCAGCTCCCGGTCGTCGTATACCTTGGCGGCCTTGATGCAAGCCACTCTCGATACCGAGTTTATTGCACAGACCATGTCGCAATTTTCGACAGATGAAGCCTCTGCTGTGCAGAGCCAGATCTACGTAGAACTCGACCGCCGAACCTCACACGAGGCCCGGGCTCGTCTTCAGTCAGAGCTTGGTGAAATGCGGGGAACACTGAAACGATTGAGGGAGAGAACTAAAGGAGAGTTTGCCTGCTTTAGGAAGCAAAGAAGTCGGACGGAGCCCAAGACCCCAGCATAGTAGTTAATGGTAGATAATTGAATTTTGGCAATCAACACACCAGAGGTGCATCTAAAGAACGTAAATAAGATCCAGTGGGTATCATTTTTAAAAAGAAAAACTTTTGAACCATCATCATATCCCATTTGAATAGCTCCCCTCTTCTACTTCTGGCCGACCATCCGTTGCACCCGACTCAGCAACACGTTACTTTCGCGACCTAATCTCCTCTTCCCATGCTGGTCTGGTCGTCTAGCCTTAGCCATTGCCTCGCGATCCTTTTGCCTGAACTCGCGCTCCTCCTGTCGCTTTTGTGCCTCCTGTCTGCGCTTTTCTGCAAGCTCCATCTCTTTCGCAAAAGCGGACGGCTTAGGCTTCCGTTTCCGGCGACCTTCGCCATCTTGATTTCTAGCTCGCTCGGGGCGGGGGGTTCTCTCAGGTGCTGGCTGATCTAACATCGCCTGTCGGTCCGGGTGCAACTCCAGCGAGGCAGGTTCTGCCTCTGGCGCATTGCCATCCTTCCCGGCATTTTCCTCTGCTAATTCGTAGACCGACTTGCGGGGGGCAGCGGCGAGCTCTTCGGCTCTCACTTTGGCGTAGGCTTTTTTAACTTTGGCCTTCTGAATCAGGTCGGCTTTGATTTTCTGGGCTATAGTGGGTCATATATTAGCAAGAGGACCTTGCAGGGCCGTTTTAAAACTTTACTTCATAGATGAAGGGGGAGAGAGAAAAAAAGGAAAAGAAAAAGGAAAAGGAAAACAAAAAACTTACTTTTCCGGCGATAGGTACCATCAGGCAGGTTTGCAGGTCCCACAGAAAATCCCTTCTTCTTCTTTACTGGTGGTTCAGTTGTGCGTTGTTCTTCGGACTTTGCATCGATATCTCGGGAGCGCTTGGCCGCCATGCTGAATGAACTTGGTTTTGTTGCCTTAGTCGGTATGGATTCGGGCTAAGTAGTTTGACTGTACTGAATGATTCACTTGGTATGAATCTTGAGTTGGGCAACAATTGACGTGGCAAGTGGTTCAGTTGTACGAGGGAAAAGAAACGAAAAGTTGGCGGCGGACAGGAGGGAAAATCTTTAAGTGTAAGCTTTGGTTTTGCCCGTGCAGAATATTCCGATTTTCAATAGTTTCACGCAGGACGAGGGTGGGCGCATATGAGGTGTCACGGAGGGGGAAGATGAAAGTTGAAGAACCGTAGACGATGCTGTAATGACACAATGATCGTCTTCCCAGTGCGAACAAAAAATAAAGAAAAAAAAAAAAGATAGCTTATGATCTTAGTACATACATACAATGATACACTCTGACTTAGTTTGTTAAGGTAGCAGGAATGCGATAAGAAACCAAAGATAATGGTACCAAACGGTAACGTTACCCATGGATTCATGATCCCATTACAATCCCGTTCCCCTCCGCCTCTAAAAAAAAAAGGCGAACGGATTTGTTCTCGGTGGACCAGAAAACCCACCCCCATGTCGTTTCAGGCGCCTCATGACTCAATTATACTCTCGTCATTCAAATAGCTCACCTTAATTTAATCCCTCTTAACTAACAAACTCTAGCTCGCCCACGTCGCAGCATCACCTTACTTCAGTTCGACCCGAATCCCGTCATACCCTCAAGTCTCTCCTGACAAAGACCGCCACTTCAACCCCAAACATCCTCTTCGTTTACACCTTCGTTGCTCCCCTCATGCGTCCTTGTACTTTCCCGTCGGCCTAACTATCTTTCATTGGGATGTATAGCTTTTTGTTTTTCCAGTCAATACTAACTAATCCCCGGTGATCATGCCCATATTCCAGGATCCAGATCGTCAGCGGTTCTATGACCTATGGTCGGATGATCACCCGCCGATAAGAGAGGATGAGCGCCAAATTGGGGGCTCCTCTTGGGCCCATCATCATAGGGAGCTGGAACCCTCAGGAAGGCGTACTAATTTCCCTGATGAGACATCTATATCAGATTACGGTCTGTCAGATTTACGTACCTGCGACCGAGAGGGATTGATTCATTACATCAAGAACGCCGATACCTCGGCTTGGGCGCATACGCTGGTAGGTACACTTCCACCTCTAGAAAGACAGAGCTCCCCAGGAAAAATGATATGAAGACTGTATCTTTACGGCATGCGCATTTGCTCACATGGGTTATGATGTAGTATGGAGATTCAAATGCTGGCCATTCCATCTCCCGCACGCCGGACAAAGCATCCGACATGAAAGCCGGATTTATTGAGCAAGGCATTCCTAGTGATAGCCCTGGTACAAATGATCAGGAATTAAGCTCGCCAGCTGATATCCAGCGCCCTCGGTCAGCGCTACATTCTGGCGACTTTCGAGAAGGGGCCCGTCAAGATTCGCAATCATTACCGCAATCACCGCTACATGGACAAGATACCGGCTCACGGTTTCCCCTTCTGGGCTCTTCACCAACTGCCCCTTGGTTCACGGCCCCCATTTTTGCATCGCCCTCGAGAACGCAATCTACCACAATCAGTGTGTCTGATGAGAACGTGAGGCCACCATCCCGCTCACGGGCACCGTCGGTGGGCTCCTTCTCTTCTAGTTACGTCCTAAAGGCGCCGACAAGCCCTCTTGTATACCAGGCGAACAATACCGATTTAGATTTTTCCTCCAGAATCGATTCAACTGAACAACTTGGTCCCTTGGAGAAGGCCAACCGTCGTCGTACGCTACCGCCAGAGACTTTCCGGCACCTTCAATCGTCACCCACAACCCACCGAGGAGCATTCAACTTCCAGTCCGACCATTCCCCTGGGAAATGGAATGATTCGCTCCCGTTCCACCATTATAATCCACGCCGGTCTTTAAACTCAGCGTATACCCTTCAACTAGCGTCTTCGGTGCAAAGTCCATCCTCCAGAATCAGGCGGCCCTCGTTTGCTGCGGAAAAGTCTTCCAGGCCGCATGCTCCATTAGTTGGATCCTATGAGGAATCCATTTTACGTGGAAGAATGTCAATGAATCCATCAAAACCACTCGATTTCACAGCTCAAATAGGTGTTTTAGGTAAAGGCAAATGTAAAGCGAATCTCAAGTGCCCACCCCACGTCACCATTCCGTTTCCAGCAGTTTTCTACAGCTATCCCACTTCGGGGAGCGGTCGCTCGATTTCGGACGATAACCCTAGTCCTTACGTTGGCTTGATAGACTTGGAGAACTCTCTTCCAAAGGACACAACAGCTACAAGTCGACGCCGCAGACAGCAGCAAAGCCCCGCACGTGTCTGCGGTGAAATGACAGACAATCCACCACCGCCTAGGGCCAATGACCAAGATGCTCTTCGCAGAAGAGAGAAGAGACACAGGAGGGCTGAATCACCCAGATGTCCACCAGGGGGTTGCTATCGAATCCCTCAACAGGGCCAGCTCCAGGTCATGATAAAAAATCCGAACAAGACAGCTGTGAAATTATTCTTGATTCCATACGATCTCAGCGACATGGAACCTGGAAGCAAGACATTTATTCGGCAGAGAAGCTATTCAGCGGGTCCTGTCATCGATATGCCGTTAACTGCACGGAAGAACTACGGGACCGATCGTCCAGAGGTGTCCTTGAACTCATCGGAGGATCCGAAGGACAAGCCCATCCTGAGGTATCTGATACATTTGAACATATGCTGTCCGTCCAAGGGCCGTTTCTATCTACACTCAAGCATCCGTGTTGTTTTTGCTAATCGAGTTCCTGACGGCAAAGAAAGGCTCCGGAATGAGATCCAGCATCCGGAGCCGCGATATGCGCCGTATAAGCCTGCTCGTGATGTCAATCAGACGCAGTTGAATACGAAGCTAGTAACGGACGGTGGATGCCGAAGATCAGCTGCTGATCAAGGATCTATTCCAGCTTCATTACCCTATCTTGCTTCCCCGTGTGGACAAGAGGGTCAGCCTGCAACACCAATACCAGCCATTGAAGCACAGACCGTCTCTAGTAACTTAAAGGATGCCCGGTCGGGGCAGCGAGCTCCTCATCCCTTCCGGCCCATTCCATCCCTAAGGGAAGAAGTACTTCCCCTGCATGATTACGATGCAGCCGAGCCCTATCAAACTGGTAGCGGAACGTATAGTAAACTCACCAAAGGAGACCTTGGATACGGTGGCTATCCATTCAGCCCCATGGGCGGCTCTGAAGCCGGCGAAAGCCTACTCGCCAAACGACTGAGAGGACTAGATGTACAGAAGCATAATTCATCGGGCATCAATTAAAGCCACCCAAGATTACCAAACCGCCGGTCGACACACTCCACCTAGGCCCGCTCCACATCTCTATCAGTATAAATCGTCTTATCTAGTCTTTACTTTTGCTATCTCTTTTTCTCGTTGACTTGTTACCACAGTGCAGGATACACGCTGCCTAACTGACATTCAAGGTGCAGGCTCATCTTCTGGACATGAACACAATCGCCCCCCGCTTTCCACAATCCTACACGGGCCAGCCAGGGCGCAAAACACACGTACTTTAATACCCAAGTTCTCATATATTTTCAATTCATGGCGTCAACAATGCTTCGGAGTCCAGGAAGTCTCCTCTCTTTTTACTGATTCGTTTATTTTGTCAAGGCGTACAGAGTTCAGTTCAAGTGGCGGTCATCTGTCTTTCGAGTATTGAGTGTTTTCTAACGTGTTTTGCTCTGGTTGTGTGGGAGGTTGGCTACTTAGGTTAAATATACGGTTAAACAGAATAACACATACGCATATACGTTGACAGAAAGTTCTCTGAGATATACCTTTATCTATTCGTACCTGATTGCGCCAGAGACTACTAACTCACCTAGATATCTGCGAACTTTTTCTTTCCAAGACCAAGCTCGGCAATACGACGCAAGAAACGAGCCAGCAGGAAGATCAGTCGTCCCCTATGTGGGCAGTTACTTCTAAGTACGCAGCACAAAAGTCCCAAGATAGATGATATATTTCCATGGGGCCATATCACACGTTTTAACCTACAAGTAAACGAAGTTCGTTGGATAATCTCCATTGAGAACCATTTTATGATCTCTCTACTTTTTTATACCTGCTCTTCGTATCTCCTGGTATTTACTGGCTGTCTCAAGCATGGGATAGGAATTCGAGACCATATCTGAAACCCCGGTGTCTCCATATATCCCCGTCATCTCCACATATAGACATGGACGTTGTATACTAATTTGGACGAGTAGTTCTCATAATACTTAGATTTTAATCTTGATAACCGCTTCCTGTAATATATACTGGATTTAATGAGCCTGTTGCTAAACCAAAAGTTGGAGGATCAATGATTATACGGGGTCTCATGAATGGCTCAGGACTCGTATCAAAAAGCTCTAGACCGAAGTCTCTGGCTTGGCTCAATTTTTTGTAATCATTCGTCGGGTACCTAGGGCAGCCCACGAGTAGCAATCGAAATCCACCTTAACTGGCAGGAGCATAGACATTACGTATTGTATCTTAGTTGAAGATATGCTAGCCTAATGGGAGTGAAACGAGAAGAGTCTTCGAGCTGTCCAGAATTTCCAGTACAAGTTGTTGGTGTCTAAGCCTAGTGCCTCAGGCTGTCTAAATATATACTAAACGTGTAATGGTACGTGCATCTCAACCAGACTTAACAAGGTGACATCAACTCTTGCCAACACCACTTGACCACACACGCAAATTATACAGAAAGAGACAGAAGTTGTTTATCTAATTTGAGTCTAAATCCAAGGGGGATGGTGCTTATATTGGTCGTATATGTCAAAACTTGGCCTGGCCAACTATTACTATCCTAGCCACTGCATTAGATGTCGTCCAAAATTGGCAGCTGACCAAACACACAATTTCGAGATATACCTCAGCGCCGTAATAGACTTATTAATGTTTAGCCTGCGTGTTCGACGATCTCGTTCACCAGGACGCCGTCCTTGACGTAGGACTTGATTTGTTCGGGAACCGGGCACTCCTTGGTATCTTCGTCTGTTCCCTCCTTTGGGGGAAGCATGATATTGATCGCTGTGCATTTACTGGAGAAAACCTCGGTATTCAAGCTCTGTGGGCCGAGATAGACCGTGGCACCGTCGACCTGGTCCAGCAAGAGCGTTGGCGCCACACCGTCGATCTGGAGAGCGAATTTGGTACACTTAATGACATCAAGGCTGCTCACGAGGGAGTCAACAATGATGGAGAGTTCCTTGCAGTTGTCGATGGCGATGGCGTTGGCCTTGCTAGACACCTTCACAATGGTCTTGTTGCAACGGGAGATAAGGATGGACTGGTTCTGCTGGGCAGGGATCTCAACGATTTCACCCGCGTTATCGAAGTTCTCGATGTACCACTTGTTACTCTCGAGCTCCTTACGAGGAGGTTTGCGGACGCGCATGCTCTCGGGCTTAGGCTTCTTGCTCGGGGCTGGAGACTTGGAGCGAGAGATGCTGCCTTGCGAGTCAGGACGCTCCGGAACGGTTGAGCTTGCACGAAGGCTAGGGTTCTTGTGCGTCATTTCGGACTTGTCGACTTTCCGGAGACCAGAGGTGATAGCCTCACCCTGGTTCAACTGAGCAAAAACAGCGGACATATCTCCTCCCGGGGCCGCACTGGGCGGCGGAGGAACGCCAGGTGGTGGTGGGGGTGGTGGAGGAGCTCCGCCAGGCACGTTCAGTGTCGGCACAGGGGGTGGGGGAGGAGGGGGAGGAGCGGAACCGCTGGCTCCGGTGCTAGGACCGCCTTTGACTTGTCTGAGGGCTTCCAGCGCATCGATGCCGTTTTGCTCATTCCATGTCAGGCCCTTCGGGTAGTGTTTCTTGAGGTAGGCAGCAAGGGACTTGAAGACCTGATAGTAAGATTGGATGTACTGGACGTGAGTCTTATCCCTAATAAGAACGTAAGTACTTTGGTCCGCGCGTGAATAAGATGATAAAGGTCTTACTTTTCCTTGTACTCCTTCAAGACCTTGTTGCCGTAGTATTCAATGCCACCAACGATCTCACTAACAAAATCTCCTGGCTTAGACTCAAAGAACCATCCCAGAGCCACGATACCTTCCGCGACCGCGCTGAGGTGATTGAAAAGAGGAGAGGCACGATTCGACTCGCGGATCATATTGATAGAATCGGAGGCAGTGTGAAGCTCTGTCATGAGCTCTGGGGGTTGGGGCTCGGGCTTCTTCGCCTTCGTCGAGACATAAAGGTAGGTGCGCTCAGCTTCGAAAGCTTGCAAGACAGCTTTCGACTACAAAACCAGTCAGTACGCTGTCGCAACCGCAATATAATGACGTTCGGTTGGAGAGCCTCACTTGCTCAGCGACAAGGTCTCCAATTTTATATCCAAGGTCCACGAAGTTGCGCACGTCCTTATTGATCAATGTATCGAAGTCTTCAATTTGAGGAGGGACGACAGGAGCTGCAGGGGCCGGAGGGAAAGCTGGCTTGGGCGGTTCAGGAGCAACGGTCTCGGGGGCAGCGGCGGCATTGAGTGTTTTCGGCGAACTGGGGTCATCCAGTCCCATAGCCATATCCTCCAGGCGGGAGGTCGCGGCTTCCAGCCTATTACATCATTAATATAACGAAGATATGAGTGAAGCACATGATAGATGCTTCGCATGGCAGCTTCCTGTGCCCTATGCTGGGGGAAGCTGATTTGGGATCGTACCGCTTAATAAGGGTAGTTAAATTATGCATATGGCTGGTCGCCATCTTGAATGGCCCCTATAATTGCAAGGGAAGAGGTCCCGAAGACAACTCAAGAGGGATCAAAGATACAGGGAGAGGAGAGAACCCGACACCTCAAATGGCAGTTACAGAGGGACAAGTGACAGTACACTTGCCCGTAACTATGAAGTAAGCTGTGACTGTTAGAATCGTAAGTTGCAACGGTGTCGGTTCCCAAAAGATGATGCTCCTTATCCCGTGCCTGAGGCCCGGGGCTCCACGAGTGGGTCTTTACGGTACAATACACAACAGTGGCTGTTTCGTATACTGTACACTATGACGTTGGCGGTAAATTTTGGTAATTCAACCACATGTACGGAGTAGTTATGGTATTCTTTAGATGCGATAAGAACTTCTACTACGGGTACTGAACCCCGCCAATTCGGACATTGTTTACGCATTATTACCTAGCAATAATGACAGGACAAATCGGCGCTCCATCTTTTGACAGTGATGTGGACTTTTGCACACTGGGCATGTTCATCCTCGGTATGCTATAACACGCCTAAATCGGATGAACTGTCGAAACCCTACGGTATACTTACGAAACTCCTTTGTCTCATGCAGATGATATTGACTTCGGGGGCATTAGACCTAATGTCAAGAACATCCTCGGGGGTGCAGCGTCTTTCGCGGTTGTCGGCGCTCGCCTAGTCGCTGGAAAGGAACACTCCCACTCTGTTAGCTGGATTGTCGATGTTGGCTCTGACTTTCCCTCCGACGTTCTGGATGTCATCAATACCTGGGGCACGGCATGCGTGATGAGGGAAGACAATAGCCGATTAACCACCAGGGCTTGGAATGGCTACGGTCCCAATGAGAAGCGCGGTGAGTACCTGATCTCCTTGCGCAGGAGCACCAAAAAGGATACTGATAGACTGCAGACTTCAAATACTTGACCCCTAAATTACGACTGGAACCTTGGATGCTATCCGATGCCCAGGTCTTCTCCAAAACATTTCACATGGTCTGTTCCGCAGAACGTTGCGTCTCTATTGTGCAAAATATACTGCAGCGGCGAGAAGAACTACGACGAGAAGGCAAAGCACCTTCCAGTAGCCAGGCTTCAGAGAGGCCCTTCTTTGTTTGGGAACCTGTGCCTGATCTCTGCACACCCGAAGAGCAAGAAAAGTTTTTTGTCGCAAACCGGGTAGTAGATGTGGTAAGCCCTAATGAACTGGAGCTGGGAATGATGTTTGGACAGACGGGGTGGAATGAAGAGAGCGCATTTGGGAAAGATATCGTGAAACGCATCCTTGATTCGGGCATTGGCCCGAACGGAAATGGGCACTTGGTTATTAGAGCAGGAAAGGATGGAAGCTATGCATTCGCAAGAGGTCAGAGGATATGGTTGCCCGCTTACCATGAGCCAGATACTTCAGCAAATACGCCAGTAGTCGATCCGACTGGTGCAGGTAATTCTTTCTTGGGTGCACTGACTCAAGGAATGGTGACTGCTGATAGGATCCCAACCAAGATCGTTGGCTCAGTGCTTGCAGGATCAGCTGTCTGGGAAAGGGCATTGGAAGCGTTGGGCAAGCAGGGTTATATACTGTCCTCTCTGATATTCGCCACAGTTGCCGCAGGTTTTGTGGTGGAGCAGATTGGAGTACCCCATCTGTCTACGTCTACCGATGAAAGAGAACTTTGGAACGGAACTGAATTCACGGAACGAGTCCGTCTGTACACGCAGCGATTGTATCGAACACTTGAAGAGTCTCCCCAGAAGCACTTTCAGATCAATTGACCGATTGAAGAACGCCCTTCTATTGTCGTACAGCCCACAATAATATGAAACAAATAACTATCATGCCATATAAACCTTCCGAAGGGTTTCACTGTAGCCCATGCTTCCCCTTTATGACTCGTTCTTTGCAGCTTGCTGTCTCTCGTGTTCGATAATCTGTTTGCTCCAGCTATAGTACAGCAGTAGAATGTTAGTATGTGCAATCTTTGGCAGTGAACTCCGTCGGTGATGAACTGACTAGCGACTGGGGAAGAATCTGCCGGGCTCTGGCATCCTGTCACGACGTTCCCGGTCGGCACTAATGCTCCATGTCACGGCACAAATTCCAATAACAGCCGCTCCTATGATAGCAGTGTTGGCCCTCCAATTCGCGGGCTGAGCGTACCAGCCTCCAGCGGGAGACCAGACTTCCTTGGGATACCTGAGAAAGCGATCAGTCAGCCTCACACGGCATCAGAAATTCAGGGAGCATCAATCGCATACGGGATCTTGCCGCCTCCGCCCATTGTGGTAGGAATACAATTGAACAATGGTAGGGGAAAACGTGGGCGATAGCTTGCTAGGGAAGCGTTGTTCTGGCGGGTTGAAGCCGAAATGGCCGTCGACGTCCCTCGTCCCAGAACCCGTGACGCTAGTTCCATATACGGTTTAGCGTCACACTGGACTTTCTCACACGACTCGCCAGTCCCGTGACTTCCGCCGAAGCTCGACTTTTCTCCAGCGGTCAAAAGTTCATACAATATCGACGTGGAAGCCCCTACACTAAACCTCCACGCAACGCCCCGGGCAATCCAATTTCGTTTTCGCTCATTCCAATCGCCCTTCGGCTTAAGGTTTCCCACTTCCACAGTTGCCCAGATGAAGAGGCTGCAGCTCCAACGATGGAGCAGTTCGGTCCTTTCGCCGCGGGCCCGAACTGGTGGCCGCCTGCAGCAGCATCTGTACTATAATTTGCGTCGCCAATCGACCATTCCATCTGCTCCTCAGGCGGAGAATGAGCCATTGTTTGAGGAACAATCGCTGAATTCGTCAACTCACATCCCTCAGTCCTCCCACTTCAAATACCTCCTCCCTTCTCCGCCGGTCGAGGCCGCACGCGAGTCCGCAAAACTTGCCGCCCTTCATGCACGCCTGTACCTCCCCTCCCGACTACCGCTCGAGACATTAGCACGCTCTCTGGTCGATTCTTCAGCCGACCCGAATCCTAATTTCAACAATGAAGCATTGGCTTCGCTCGGCAATGACCTCCTGAGCCACTACACCTCCGAACACCTTGTTTGTACATATCCTCGACTCCCCTTAACCGTCATCTTCGCGGCAATGTATGCGTATGTCGGCCCCAAAACTTTGGCTGCAATGGCAAAGGAATGGGGTGTTGAGATGGCTGCAGTGCCTGGTGGGGAGGTTGATCCCGGCCTCTTGCAGTTCAAGAGAGTACTCCCAGGTACTGATGTGACGGCGGAACCAGTTACTGGCACAGAGAGACCCAATGAACACCGGAAATCATGGAGAAAGTCAATGACCTCCAGAGTTGTTTACGACAATGAGTACGGAGATCCTATCAGGGCGTCCGGCGAGTCGGCCGCCCCGGAATCCCAGAATACTCAGGGTGTTACTGCAGAACACGCCAACGCGACATTTGTGCGTGCTGTAATGGGTGCCATCTATCTTCATGCGGGTAGACCGGCTGCCAAGCGATTTTTTGAGCAACATTTCCTCTCTCGTCACCTCAACATCTCGGACCTATTCAACTTCTCCCAGCCGGCTCGTGACCTTTCCCGACTATGTGCGCGAGAGAACTTCGAGCCACCTGTCGCAAAGATCATCAGTGAAACTGGTCGCAAGAGCAGACACCCTGTCTTTGTCGTTGGTATTTTCTCTGGTCAGGATAAGCTGGGAGAGGGCGCTGGCGCCAGTCTGCTTGAGGCTCGATCCAGGGCTGCCGTGGCTGCGCTCAAGGGCTGGTACCTATACAGCCCATTGAACGTGCGTGTCCCTAGCTCCATGGAAGAAGAGGGCGCTGCACCCTGGAAGCCAGTCCACGTGGACTTGGGTGAGGTGATCGTGTAAGATGATATTGCAAAGAGAAAGAGACACGCGTCAACGTGGAAAAGGTGTTACATTATATGACATGACTTGTCGTCGACGGGAGCAAGAGCACATTACATATTATCTATTCGAATTTGCAAGAACAGGTTTTGTACAGTATGGGAAATCTATTTCATTCGTCTGATGTCTTCTGCTGAACCCTTTTTTATCTTTATTTTTTAACTTTTTTTTCTCGTTTGTCCTGGTTACACATTTGCATTTCCACCCCAATCCGTTTTAGACAGGAAACAGTCCTTAGAACGGAGTCGTTGTAAGGGCTGATTCTTAGACAAAAGTACATAGATGTATGTACCGAATGAATGCATATTACATGATCTCAGCTCGCAGAGTACTCGAGACTCGGAATAATCCACGGCAGTCCTACAATTGCAGGGAAGCGTCAACTACGCCAAAGACGCGATTTAAGGGGATCTACTCGGAGGGGTTGACAATCTCATCCTCCCAATCCCCACCGCTTCGGTCTGTGATCATCTGAACGTGTCCATCGAGGTATTTGCCGTAGTCATCCCAAAGTTCATCGACCCCCGACCCAAACAGATTCTTCCAAAAGCCCGGACGTCCGTTTTCCAACGTCTCACTTTCACCGATATATCCGCTTCGCAGTAGCCGGTCGTTCAACATTCCAACTGCGCCTTTACCAATCCGCACATCCTCCAGCCACTCTAGGAAGAATGCTGTATGCTGATAGCCCTGGTCCCATTTGTCTGCTCTCTCTTGGGCGGATGTCGGCCGTTTCCAGTGCGGCGGAACAAAGCCCGCTTTGAGACGCACAAAATCCGCGATGCCCTCGATCAGGCCTCCGGGTGGACGCGGCACAGAGACATTATCCTGGCGGGGTGCCGTATGCTGATAACAGTGGACCAGCTCATGGGTAAGGACACCGACTATCTCGGCTCTTGGGTCGGGCAGCTTCATGGCGGTAAGGATATACTGGAGAGACACATGAATCTCCTTATGGTCATCGTCCAGCTCCATACCGGTCGTGTAGGCTACACCGCCAATGTCACGGAGAAAGAAGGTTACGGATCGAGTTGGCGGTATGGAGGGTGTGAAGGTTGGGGTTGGGCCCTTGGATGTGGTGACGGTGTGCGGTTCATCTTGCGAACTGGGTGGGGTGTAGAGGTTCTCGATAATATCAGCTAAGGCTTTGTCGATGGTAGAGGCAACGTCAGGTACGAGGAGTAAGAAGGCATCGGAGCCGGGGTGACGTAGATCATTGATCTGGAGACGAAGCTTGGGTCTGGGGGGCACAGTGGACCGTTTGTTTGGACTAGGGTCGGCCGGGGAGATGGCGGTGGGGTGAGTGCGAGTATCAACTGGTGACATCTCGATTTGAATCCCGTACAATAATCGAATGAGCAAGGAAGCGCCCGGAAGAATGTAGATACCGCGTCAAGGTATCCCCACAAGTGTCTGTAAGCGCGAGATATACTTCGACTGGAATGTTCGTCATACTGGGAGTAAATCTGTATGTATGTACGGAGTAATCATGGGAGCTAAGTTGCCAAGAATGGTACTATCGAGTTCCAGAAGGACTACGCCTTCTAGAGTGGTATTGTGGTACTCCGTACAGTCGGGACTTAATGATGGCCGGTGTCGCTTCGCGAAGTCCTCTCCAATAAATGCATAATATGCCTTGAACACAATATATCGGGATTTTCCGTCATGTAATCCTGAGGTTGTCGTTGACATCGAAATCGTACAGCCAAGCCCATAACCCGACAGTTTCTTCTGTAGGAACTTTTGTTTTTAGAATCCTCTTTTATATCGACTACAATAACTAGGCGGATTTACCCGCCGGATTTCAGTAGTCACTGGGTAGTATTATTCTCGAGGTCAATATAACGCTCTGATAAACCGGTCTTGAACACCGCAATCGGGAGTGGTTGGTCCACGCTTGGACCTTCGAGCCTGACGGAGGCTCACAAGTTGAGGTCAAATAACCCTTAGTGCTCGTGGCAATCTTTCCTTGTAGTTGAGGCGGAATCGATTGCGCTACCACTGCACTGTACATGGTGTTGCATCAATGCACATATCTTGAGGTTCATTAGTGTCCGCTCTTCTGAGGCGGCCATTGGAGCAATAGTGATATTCGACTGCTGACACCAACAATCAACCCGATCTTCCGTAAGAGGGTCTTGATCTACTCGGTTTAGTCTTCGGTCGCTGAATGTCTCTGTACGAATATAGTACCTAATTAGATGCCCAAGTTCATCTGGAATGCTGATAGTCCGCAGATATTCCATCTCTTGTCAAGTGTCATAGAGTGGCGGTCTGGCCTGTCAGAAAGTCCAAAAGTAAACAAAAGGTGCGTAACACTGTTGACAATCTGGGAAGTGTTGACTTTTCCTGAGTAGGCACACTATAACTGATCATGGATCCAGGAATTTGCTTTCACTAGATACGTAGTACCTCCTCCGAAGTAGTACCTAGTACAGACTACGGAATATAATTCCCTTCCATGTAGTAAGTAAGGTAGTAAGGGTATTACTGCGAAGTACAGTACATGTTGCATGCGCCCAGATCTATCCACAAGACTTAATTCGGCGGGCGCATGCCTCTTCAACCGAATCAGCCAATCGATCTATTCCAATTGCCCATCGATGGATCCTCCCCATAGTACCTAGTGCTGTAGTATGCCACCTTTGTCGCGGCTCTTTCTTGACATGACGCATGGTAGGTATTTGGTCCAAGTGCCCACGCCGACCGGCGATCGTGTGGAGCAGCCAGACGGACCTGTGGGAGGCCAATGATGATTGGATAGTATGTCATTTAGATCCATTGAAATCTACTTTGTATTGTGGGTTTGGAAAATAGAAGAGAAAGAAAAGAAAGAAAGCAGGAACAGAAAAAGAAAGAATTGTAAAATTATCTGTGATAATCACGTAGACCCGGATTAGTGATTAAAGAAGTTACTTGACTTGGGAAATCCGGACCTCTACGGAGCATAATATGGAACTAGTGGGAAATATATATGCGTAATGAATGTAAACACAAAAGAAAACAAACCCAGAATCGGCAGAGATATATGTGTAGGACTGCGTGTATTCTATTGCAATACATCATTTCAATTTAGGTACTTAGATATTAGTAAGCACAGCAATGCGATCTTATCATTTTTCTTCTCTTTGTGTGTACCTTAATGAAACATTCTTTTTACATTGCGATCGTGATACTGCATTGTAAAAGTCGTTGGGCTGCAGAGGCCTCAGGCGCATTCGACCCCCACTGGCGGTTTCCGTGGCCAATGTTGCGGGTAAACAAAGCGGAAAAAAAAGATCCAGGGAACCAACAACCCGACTCGGTTTCCATCACTTCCTTCGCTGTCGCACGTCAACACTTGATTTTCACCGAAGGACTTCTTGAGCTTCGTTTGAGTAAACCCTTATAAAATTGCTCTGATTATCTAAAGAGTGTGGAGTTTGAAGCGCTTATCGGCGCGTCTATTCGCTTATCGCTCCTTCCGTTGCGAACCCCCCCCCGTCGCCGCAGGCCATCCTCGGAAGTGTCGCCGTCAGGATAGTAGCTTCCTCCTCCTCCTCATCATCAACCTCCTCAACTCGCGCCTCCCCTCACATCGACCATAATCAGGGTATGTATGAGCTCCTTCCCCAGCGATATCGTCTAGATTGTTTGGCCTAGGATGTCTGTTCTTCTCCAACGGTGTCTTTGTAACCATAATCATTCACACTCACATTCACGTTCACAATCGCACACTTGCTTTTGGCGCACCTGTATCTAAATTTCAGCTTATGCTAATTATTCAAAATGGGTCTCTATAGCCTTGCCTCTTTTGTGACTGAGCTCACATTCTGCATTTGGGTCTTATCCCTCTACTTCGCCTCCCCCTTTTACTTCTCCATCCAACTTGGATGCCAACCTATCTCGACACTCGAGTCTATCTTGATCCTTTATGTGAAGACTACCCGACGTCTCCTCGTATACTCCGATCCTGTCCTTCTATATGTCCTCCGAGTTGTCTGTCGTATTGAGCATTTTCTCGCACCCAACATGGAAGCAAAAGCTACAGAGCTACTGACGGTCCTGAAGAACAATAACCTTGCGATTGATGTCAAGGTCAGCCACCTGCTGGGCATCAAATCCGATATTAAACAGAAAAATGTCCCCGATAATGCTGTGGACTTGATCTTCGAGAGCCTACGGCTAGCGATCTCATCTCATCACGCCGCCCTTTACGCAGCCGGTTTCTCTACGCTTGGCCACTTCCTAAAGCGGCTGTTCATACAGGACCAGGCTCATATCGTCTCCGCTTATGCCCGTCACTTTTGCCCTGTACTTCTAGAGCGCCTGGGGGACCACAAAGAGCGTGTCCGCGCTCAAGCTGCTCAAATATTTACCGACTTATGGCCAGCCGCCAGCGCCGACGTAGAGCACTATGTGCTCGAAGTAGCCTTGACGGGGAAAAACCCCAAGGCCAAAGAGACAAGCCTGATATGGCTATCGAACGTAGGTTGATACCCTTCTACCATTGCATCATTTACTTAATCGGCGTTCGCAGATGTCGAGAAATCATGGTCTCCTTTTCCGGTCATATGTACCGAGCGTGGTCTCATGCTTAGAAGATGCAGATAGTTACGTGAGACACACTGCCAAATCGACGGTAGTCGAACTATTTCAGTATGATCTCCCGTAGGGTTAAGTGGTTTGTTTAGGATCAGTCGTGTGGCTGACAAAGGGCTTAGGGATGCGCCTGCACGGGCTAAAGCAGACCTGACCAAAGAAATGACTGCTCAGAACGTTCGTCAATCGATCGTGAATGCAGTTTATGCAAAAATCGGACTTGATGACCACTCTTCCACAGCTCGCCCGCGCTCACGAGTAGAGCCTCGGTATACCCCCTGCGCGGATACTCACCCTCTACGTTCCGCCTCTCGAGCAGAGGCTGTGCACCAGCAGCCTGCTGCTGTGGTCTCCTCAGCCCCTGTAAGACCCTCTAAAGAAGGTTAGTTTACTTCCCTCTGCATTGATAACCATGTTGTGCTAACGCTTGCCGGCCACACCAGTGGTTGTGGAACCAGAACTGATCAAAAGCCGCCCTGGCTCATCAAAGAGCGAACAGGAACGGACTACAGCCGCGGCTTCCGATATAGAAAAAGCATCACACATGGAGCCTGCCCAACAGAGCTCCCAGGATGCTGAAGCTCCTCAGCCGCTTCATGCTGAAACACCGAAGCACGTCGAAGATCTCTTCCGCGTGCTGTCTCCTGCTTTCGAGGGCCGCGAGTCCGAGGACAATTGGAGACACCGTGAGAAATACATTATTTCTCTTCGCCGACTTGCTTACGGCAACGCACCCCAGGACTTTCCTCAGCCTTTTTTTACCGGGATCAAGTCGAATCTCGATGGTATTTTCAAAGCAGTCAATTCCCTTCGCACCACTTTGTCCACCAATGGGTGCCTCTTGATCCAGGATTTGGCCAAGATTGGCGGGTCTAGAATGGACCCGATGGTTGAGGTCATCATGCAGAACCTGATCAAGCTTTGTGGCGGAATGAAAAAGATTAGCGCTCAAAACGGCAATGTCTGCGTCAACGACGTTTTGGCAAATGTGACTTATACTCCACGTCTCTTGCAACACGTGACGAGCGCATGCCAGGACAAGAACGTCCAGTTACGTCTCTATGCTGCAGGGTGGCTTAAAACCCTACTCAACAAACAAAGCCATCACAAGAGCTCTCTTGAGCATGGTGGCGGTTTGGCACTTCTTGAAAAGTCCCTGAAGAGGGGACTCACCGATGCTAATCCAGGCATAAGGGAAGTGATGAGGGGCGCCTTCTGGACTTTCCATCGGATGTGGCCTGCAAGGGGCAACAAGTGAGTTATTCCCTTTCATTTATGAGTGAATGGTTGTATAACACCTCACAGTATTTTATCCGATCTCGACAACAAGACCCGCCACCTACTCGAAAAAGATCCGGCAAATCCAAACCGAGATCAACTGAGCTACTTGTCAAGCGACACTCTCACTGTGCCTAGTCGCTCTGCCTTGAAAGAGGCTATTGCAGCGCATAAAAAGCTCGTCTTGCACCAGCCAAGACGTTACCTCCACGACCGGAATCAGCCCAATCTTCATTTGGTGAAACGAAGACATCCGACGCCCCGGTGAAGTCTGCTGGGCGCACCGCTCGGGCACCTCTTTCTTCACTTTCTTCGGCGCCTATGCGACCTGGTGCTAAACCCCGCCGACCTGAACTGGCGCGCCCCGCGACTGCCGATCCATATTCTTCTCGAAAAACCGCCGCTACAGATGGCGTTCAGGTTGCAGCTCGCCAAGACCTAGGAGGGCAGTAAACCCGGGGCAGGCGTCCAGCTCAACTAAGAGCAAACCCAAGAAACTCGATATCCCCATGACAATGGCTGTCGACGCAGTTGCACCTAATGCGAGTAACGAAAACGGAACCCAGGCGACTAGTAAGGTGAGAAAGCGTTCCAGCTTGTCTGAACAATTCGCTGCGCTCAAGCGAGGTATTCGGACCAGAACATCCCCCAAAACAACGCCCAGAGCATCCCCCGAAACATCTCCCGAAACATCTCCCAAGTTATCCCCCCAAACACCCCCCAATCAACCAGATGATTTCGATATAAATGCACTGGGCGAATTGTCTATCAATCGGTCAGATCGTCGCGATGAAACTGCCCTGGGAGAATCATCCCCCGATAAACCAGATCGTCACGACGAGATTGCACCGGGCGACTTATCTATCAATAGATTAGATCGTCGCGATGAAAATATACCGAGCGCATCACCTACCAACGGTCCAGATCGTCACGACGAAAATGCCCAGGGCGAATTGTCTATCAATAAACCAGATCATCGTGATGAAACCGTCCTGGGCGAATTGTCTATCAATAGATCAGATCGTCGCGATGAAACCGTCCTGGGTGAATTATCTATCAATAAACCAGATCGTCGTGATGAAACCGTCCTGGGCGAATTGTCTATCAATAGATCAGATCGTCGTGATGAAACCGTCCTGGGTGAATTATCTATCAATAGATTAAGTCGTCGCGATGAAAACGCACCGGGCAAATCGCCTGCTAGTGAGCCAGATCGTCACGATGAAAAGCCGATTGGTACTGTTGAAAATACACCCCAACCCCACCGACGTGTCGAAGAAGCCGAGCCTTTCTACGCACGCTTCAAGATACGCAGTCGCCTGATGAACAAGCGAAGAAACATCAGCCCACATTCCGAACAGCTAGAAAATGCGAAAGAGATGGTCAGGGTTGCGGGACAACGAATCCGCTCCAGGTCATTCGACCTTTTTGCATACCGAAAACTACAGGACCTTATTCATTATCATGGGGAGAAACTCTTCACTCAGCCAGTTTTCGATGATTTGCTTGATGGGCTGTTGGTAGAGTTGCGCGAAGAACCGAGCCCAGATAGAAAACACAATGGTGACTATGCAGACGTGAAGACCCAGGTCGTTGGTACACTTCGTCTGTTGGAAAAGGGCTGCCCGAACCTCTTTGTGATTCACTACGATGCAATAGACGCCATCTTTCATGCCAGGAGATACTTCGAAACCAACTCTTGGATTGTTCAAGAACTCCAGCAAACCGCATTGGAGTGGTTTCGTAACTGTGAGCCATCAGGGCTCGAAGGCATGCTTGTTACACTTGTCGAATATGTACAACATGAGACACGGGATGAACCGGGGTATCGGTCCATCCTCATGGCACTCTCTCTACTCACTAATCTGATTGGCGACGCAAACAAGAAAGGGACTTGGTTCTCGAATGAGATCTTGGAGCAGGTTGGGACAATAGCAGCAAGGGACGTCCTAGCCGAAGATACCGACATAAGAAAGAAGTCTATCGAACTCTGTGTTCAACTATATGTGATGTCTTGTAACGTGTATCAAGACAAGGGGGTAGCTTTCTGGAGGTTGGTGAGAGCACCCGAAGGGGGCACCCGGCAATTGATAATGTACTACATAGCCAAACAGTAGGCTCTGTACTCCGATACCCGTATTAATCAAATCAAAAATAATTCTTTTTTCAAAGGAGCTAGCTATATGCGGTTATTTAGGTGTTGTGGGTCTCGTACATCTGCTGCGATATAATCAATAATCAGACAAATACCCCGAAAGAACCCTCGACTGGGAAATCCAAATATTAGACGGTGACGAGAGCAGCGACGTTCGACTAGAATGATAATCCACGATAACAGACGAGTGATCACTCGTCGGTATATCCTCGCTCATCACATTTGATACCATCGATGCACTTGACTGTTCCCGAAGAACAATCTCCTCACGATCCAACAGCATTGCTGCGATGATAGATTGCTCTGCTGGATATCCTCGAATGTAGGCATCTGATCAACTCCCGCCTTCTTCCCGTTAATCCTTATCTCCAGGCCATCAATAGTCCCTACTTCCGAAGACGTTTCATTCTTCCGGAATCCCTTACGAAAGAGTAGTCTCTCCTCGTGGGACACTTGGTTATTGGATTTATCCAACCTCCTCCTGTCCGCCTCTCTGAGCTTCCGTCTCTTGCCAAATTGCGCCAGCTCTTCCAGCTGCGGGAAGGTTATCTTTAATGGACGCGCAGCGGAGACGGCGGCCCAGTCTGTCTTTGCCAAGAGTTGACGTTTGATATGCTCTAGACGAGTGGGTTCTTTCGAGGATTGATGGCTTGGTGACAAAGATGTTAAGATTGCAGGGGACTGGATAGGAAGCGTTATACTGGTTCAATGTTATTGCAACTTGCCGCAGATGTAGACTTACCTGCTTTGGATGACTGGAATGATTCTCCTTGTCGTTCGGTGTATGCTGATCAGGATCGTAGGCCTTGGTTTGCGTAAACTTGTGGAATAGAGTCACTTGTTGTGGACCTTGAGATGGTTTTCTAATGGCTTGTCTTTTGTGCTTGGGGGCGTTGGTGGTGGAATGCCGGTGGAGACGACCTCCTGTCCAGTTCATGGCTTTCTGGGTTAGATTGGTGCATGATATGATTGATGGTGTAGAGGAAGTGTTTCGTTGTGAAGGGATGGATGTGTGGGAGTGTTGGAGGAAGTGTATTATGCATTCTATCAGGTGATCACTGGAGAATATAGATCCCTTTCAACTTGAATTAATTCCATCCCCTTAATAGGGTCATCTTTTTTGTCGGTCAAGCATTGATATCAATAACAATGTCTTCTTCCTCCACCTCCTTCTCCTTTTCTTCCCCATCTCCTCATCCTCCATCTCCTCTTCTTCCTTCTCTCTTTCCTTCTCCTCCTTCTCCTCCTTCTCTGCCGCCTAATCTCTATATCAGTCTCCCATTAATTATCAATAGGTTAAGTAAAAGTAAATACATACCTTGCGCGCCCTTCGGTTGGCGCGTTGGCGCCTGTAGCGCTTCGCTATTCTGCTGCCAGATAGCGAAGCGCCACCAGCGCCGACAGTATGGGTACTGGGGGCACTGGTGGTGGGGGCAACAGGACCAGCCTGCTGGTACATACAATATTAGTAAGTATATCAGATAGTCATAGGTTTAACTTGTCTTGTCCTTCTTTGCCTTGTGCTGTCTTTTCCGATGATTATTATCATATTAAATATATCTGTAATCAACAAGAATCTGACCTTTCCAGCGAATGCTTGCGCATATGTGAAAGGCAGTGGCACTAATTCGCCCAGTCTCTGGGCGACATCATGCTCGATTTTGGCTCTGTCCTATTTAATCTTGATTAGTATATATTTGTTCACGAGTGGTAGATATCAGACCTTTTAAGTAGAAAGAGCCTACTCTTTCTTGGAGGTATTAAAGATAAACCTTTAGTAGAACATAAGATAAGGTAGAACTCAGCATCGAGCCACCAGGTGACTTGAAGCTTTCAGGAAGAAGATGGCTCTACTTACAGCCATGATGAGAGAGGGGGGGATGGCAGAGAGGTAGCGAATGATCTGTATGACATGCTTGGAAGCAATCTTAATAAACCTTGACACATCTCCTTCTATCGAAGATGATTTGGTATGGGGTACAGATGGGGGCGCCTAGGGCTTCAATATATACACCCTGAGGCGCGTGATTTACATTCACACCTAAGGCTCAACTAATCATTCCCATGTAATTCTAATCATTCGAGCCACCTAACTCACTCAGTCAGAAGGCTTTCAATTGAATGCTGAACGAGCATTCAATTCAGTTAGGTGATATTTTTATAGGGTGGTTCATTCCTAGAACCACACCCACAAATGGCGAATACCAGTGGATAAATCTCTTCCTATAAGTTATACTTTAACAACTGGGAAAGAAGACACCTTCTACAATACCCTAGAACAATAACAGCAAAGCTCCTTATTAGTTACTAAATTCTGGTAGTAGTAACTGGGTCGCCTCTCCGACGCGATATATTTATTAATCCTATTCTCTTGGGTGTTTTTAGTTCTCTGCCCGTTGTAAAACAACCCACATATACTGCGCATCCTTCATATCCTAATAACATAAGTCTCGGTAACCAAATGATGTCTGCTCATATTATGCAGCAAACAAGAGAGGAATGATAGGAAATTGTGTTTTCAATTTATTTGATCTCAGCATCCTTTGACCAAATATTTAATCACTTTAGACGGAAAGAATGTACACAATACTTCACTTTTTATAGCGCCGTTAAAGGAACCGGCTCAGACAGATATCAGTAATGAAAGCACCCCCAGCTTGTGATATCATATAGGAACGAGGATCGTGATCCACTCATACAGAGAACGGTTCAACATGTTCCTGATTCGGGCCATGGTAGTATACTAGCTAGGTTTGTATTATAGTTTAAATCTTTCTTATAGAAGATATCTACCAGCGCGGGTAGTGTAACGGTTATCATCCTTGCCTTCCAAGCAAGGGACCCGGGTTCGACTCCCGGCCCGCGCATAGCTTTTTGCCTTCGATTTTTGTTCGCTCCAGAGCGGTAGATAGAGAAAGGACAGGACTTGGAAAGATACATTCAGTCAGTCTATCGTCGATTTCCTACCCGCTACCTGCTGACAAGGGATGCCGTAGCCAACAGGCCCCAGACAAGCCCACCTATGCCGAAGTCAGAAATGCCCTAGGAAACAATCACAGCAAATGTGTTAACCACCAGTTATGTTTTTGAGTATAAGCAACAACCTATGTCGTGTTTTCAATGCGCACATCAATAATATGACAAACAGCCTTGCTTCTAACAATGTTGTAAATGTACTGGAATCTATCGTGTGTCAAGCGCCGTGTGTCAATTAGTCAAGGATTCGACAAATTGTAGGACACAAGTCATGTCTTGTTTATATACATACAATACAGCAAGTAAAAAGCAAACGTTGGAGGCTACACTCAAATTGTACAGCGTCTACAGAAGGGTAGAGAGAGAGAGAGAGAGAGAGAGAGAGAGAGAGAGAGAGAGACAGCTCTTGATGGGTGATACTTGCTATCAATAGTTGCAGCTAGTAGGGATTTCTTGAGGTTATCTGGTTCCTGTAGCAATTGGCTATATATATACTACAGCTCAGGCCTGTTTCTATACTTAAGCTCTGTCCAATCTAGAGTAAAAAGAGAGATAGGAGCAGATCCAACCAAGACAAAAAAGGAATGCGCGGGCCGGGAGTCGAACCCGGGTCCCTTGCTTGGAAGGCAAGGATGATAACCGTTACACTACCCGCGCTGGTGACTGATGATTAATCCGTAATCCTGCAAAACAAAATCAATATTTGCTGTATACATACACTATTGTCACACAACACTAAACATAGCAGAGATGTATGTAGGATATTTGTGCCCCCCCCCCCCCCTTTTTTTTCACTCCCTATCGAATAAAAGTCTCCTTTCTAAGCATTAATCCTACTGGGAGCTCAAGCTCCCCTCGCTGAACAAAATATTACTCTCCTTTACAATACGTTGATACCTATTTGGGTAGTAAGAGGATCTAGAAAGATGCACCAACGATATGCACCGTCAGCAAGGAGCCCAAGCTACCTGTCTTGAAGAATAGCCCTTGCTTGCTGCATTCGATATTATCCGTCCAGCTCTTTGGTGGATACGTAGAGAATATTTAATCACTGCATGCCTTCAGATTGCTGTAGCACTATGAACATATTATTAGTATAAAAATGGCTAAAGTAGTGGTCTATGATTGAAACTCATCAACCCACTATTGTAGTGTAAATGACGAGAGACAAAAGGATCAACAAACACTCCGGTATATAGCATATCTGCGAGAGATACATGTAGCCCGCTTGGCCTGCAGTGGTCTAAAGGCCTTAAATTTAGTTCGCCGTCGCCCGAGACCACGATGGGAGTAGTGTACGCACCTAGCCATGGAAGGACAGTAGCGGCACGGGCCGGGCGATGAGCCGAATGGTCCCCTAGCCTGCGGCCAGCCACGCGAGTTATTCCGAGTAGGGCTCAAGGCTGCCAGGTGGAGATGCAAACAGTGCAAAGTATCCGTCATCACATGACCACTCGCTTGGACTATTTCACGCACGCTGAACCTTCCCCTGTTCTTTTCCTTCCGACACATTTTCTTACACTGCAACACCAACCAACACCAGTCTTTACGCCGGGTCTGGATTGCGTCTGCCTTGATGTTGGCAGAGCCATGACACCTTGGCTGAGACAATGTGAGAGGTCTGGTTCAATAATTGATTATTATTTGGGCCCCTGAAAAACCCAATAAAAATAATTGTAATAATAGGTGAGCAAATTTTTTTTTTAATCTCATTATTTGTTTCGACGGCGGAGACACGGAAACCTCGTTTCCCCCTTTTCTTATGATGATCACCATTTTTATAAGCATAGTTCACCTGAGGTCTTCGGGCCGTTGAACGACAACCTCATATCATCTTTCACCTTTGTCTGATCTTGTCTCTGCCTGTCATTGCATTCTTGTATTGCTTTTCTAAGTTCGAAGCTCATGACTGACTGGAAGTCTATAGAAGATGGTAGACAGCCAATATGATACGTTGCATTTGCGAAAAAAAAATTATCTCTATGACTAGGCTACATCCTAAACAATCAAATAGAATTATTCATTTCTCATAAGCTTCCCGAAGGCCCCGATTATTATCCTCCGGTAGACGCATTGCTGCCCAACGTGGGCTTGAATGGGGCAGCCCATTGGCGAACCCACTGGTAATCGAAGTGTAGAGAAGGTAATGGCCAGCAGTGACACATTGTATGTGTGCGAAATAAGCAAAAAAGGAGCAAATAATCATGGCAAGCCCCCTTTTTACTGTGTTGTCATGAAACAGGAACCCCTCACCCTGTCATCCGATGTACTTTCGTTCTTATCCAGTCCATAAGTGAAGCATGTTGGCACAGACGCGCTGCAAGATGAAGTCGCAAAGTGTCAGACAGGGCGAGAAGAGGGGTTTATTGGTATGGCAACCCCTCCTTTCCGCAGTGACATGCAGTTGAGCAACATCTCTTCCATGTTCCCCGATGAGATGGAGGGGTTTGACGTGGTAGGGCTCACGACCAAACGATGGCAGGGAGTCAAGTGCAACCTTCACGAGGCAGGAGTGGAGCCCCAATAGGGGAGTGGTAAAACCAGATGGGAGGGGAGTGGGGAGGGGATGATAGGCGTAGAAGCGCGCGAGATATACCTGCAGGATTGGGTTCTGGCGAACGCCTTTTTTAGTCGCGGGAGGGAGATTGACCTCCAATGATGCAACGGACGGGAGGAGGACCCCTTTTTAAGGCCAATAAACGAACGGGCCGAAGTGGGACCCGCTTCACCGCCAGATTGGGCAAGTCCCGTTAATGGACCACGGGAAAGAGGATCCTTCGTCCCGCTGCCACGTCAAGACTCCGTTATTGGCCGACTCAACACCGTCGCATGTTGCACCATCATCACCGCCATGTCGCGCAGCACCAAATCATCGCTCGCCATCCGCCCAGTGAGGCGCCGCTACTGCTGCAGAATGCGAGTCCGTCACGCCGCTCGGACGCTGCGAATCCACCCCACGCT